TAGCTTCTTTCTCCTACTGTCATGTTCTAGTCCACCAGGAGCCTACTCTGTTTATTCAGAAACCAGTGACAGTGAAGTACCAGGCACACACAGCCCTAGCTTCTGGGATGAGGGGAGCGTGCAGACTCACATCCCTGCCATTGCACGCCTTACACATCAGGGTGAGGTGGTAGTGCCGGGGTGGGGAGATAAGAGAGCAACGTAAATAAATTGCAATATAATAAATGCTGTATCAGAAGGGGTTTCAGCCAGGTCTTTCCTGTGGCAGAACTGCCGTAGACTAGGGGGCTTTCAACAGTTGTTCCTTCCAGTTCTGGAGGTTGGAAGTCCAAGCACAGGGAACCAAGACAGCAGGTTTCTGGAGAGAGCCGTCCTCCAGCTTTGCAGACAGATGGCCGTCCCTTTAAGCTCTCCTCACATGGAGAGAGATGGGTGGAGAAGGAGCAGCATGCTTCCCTCATGCCAGGAAGCACAGTGGGAAAAATGCCATCAGCCTGCATGGGTTGAGGAATATGTCCAGAAAGGACAGCCTTTTGCTGTAGTTAGGTATTCACCGTTGGCAGTGCCCAAGCCCTTGATTAAAGACTGCTGCCTCCTCGCAGGCCCAGAAGTGTCCCACCATGCTCTCTGGCTCATGCTGTGCTTGAGTTCTTTCAGGCACATTGTCCCTCTAGGAGCAGTGAAACGCTTTCCGGTAGAGCACATCCAGAAGGATTCCCGGAAACGTTCTTATCCTGGCAAAGCTCGGGGGTCCTTGGGGCTCGGAAAGCTTTTGTGCTGATCATGGGAGTTTTGAAGAGCAAGCTGTCTTCAACAGGTCACTTGTGACCGATCTGCAGCCCTGCCATGACTTTCGATCAGTGTTAAGGAGTAGGCATAATTAATGCACCATGCGAATGAACATACTAACACAGACATGATCACTTGCCAAAATAATTACCATAGAATTAGAACCAAATGCTTTCTCTTATGTTTTAGAGCATAAGAATGTTGGCTTAACAAATTTTATTCAGTTAATATATATCATTTGGTTAAAACATGGATTTTTTTTTAAAGTCGCTTAAATATCTGCGTTCTCTCCCCGCCATCCCTTCTTTTTGCTGTTGTGAGCCAGCATGGTCCTGTGAAAGACATCAGACGTGTTCAAGAGCAAGTGAGATGGCTCAGCGGGTACATGCTCTGCTGCCAAGACCCACTCAGTGGCAGGAGAGAAGTTGTTCACAAAAGTTAACCTCTGCCCCCCTGTGTGCTTGCTGCTGCACCGTAGCCCCTGCACCCCCAACACAAATGGATATATAGATGCGACTTTGAACTTTTTTTTTTTTTTTTTTTTTTGGTTTTTCGAGACAGGGTTTCTCTGTGGTTTTGGAGCCTGTCCTTAAAGATATTCAAAATAAATGTTAACTGGCTTTTCAAAAAGATTTATCTATTTTGCTTTTATGTGCATGAGTGTTCTGCCTGCATGTCTATCTGTGTACCACGTGTGTGCCCCGGAAGCCAGAGGAGGTGTCAGATCCCCTGGAAGTGAAGTTACTGTTGTAAGCCGTCCTGTGGGTTCTGGGATCTGAACCCAGGCCTCTGCAAGACCAGCAAGAGTTTGTGACTGCTGAGCTATCCCTCCAGCCCCTATTTAATGACGGAATGTGAGGGAGTAAGGGAACCAAACCTTAGATCGAATGCTGAGTGTGTGTTCTCTCACTGAACCACATCTCCAGCCAGCACTGTCATTAAAATAATAATAATAATAATAATAATAATAATAATAATCAAACCCTTAGTGAATTTTTGTTCAAGAACTGGGTCGATTTCTCATAGTCAGGCAAGTTTTACTGCCACGGAAGAGAGCGCACCGCCATTGTTGCGACACACACGAACATTACTCTTGTTTAAGATTAGCTACCAGACCCCATCAGAGGAGGCAGAAAACCTGACACCTGAGCCTCCCGCCCCACTGATTTTCCTCGATGACCTTGCGCAGGTCATTTAGACCTCAGCTTTGGTTTCCTTGTCCCTGAGGCAGACAGAGCTTTCCTTCACTAGTCTGATGTCATAGGGATGTGGTCCAGCTCCCGAGAGATGAACCGCCCTTCAGCCCATCAGTGAAGATCTATCTCTAGCTCTTCAGGGAGCACTCTACGGAAAGTCTGGCCGCCGGTGCCGGCCTATCAGATATTCCCACCTACGCTGCCTCACCATGCAGGGAGCTCTGACCGGAAGTGATGCTCCTGACGGATGCTTCACAAACACCATTTGCTAATCATATTCCATTATAAACCTGTGTGTGACTCCATTAGAATGGATCTTGACGGGGTTTTATCTCTTAATTTTATTTATTTATTTATTTATTTATTTTTGGTTTTTCGAGACAGGGTTTCTCTGTGGCTTTGGAGCTCTTAATTTTATTTTTAAATAAAATGTAATTATGCCATTTCCTCCACTCCTTCTCCTCCTCCCCCCTTTCTATGACCTTCCATTCAAATTCATGACCTCCTTTTCTCTAATTATTATTGTCATGTAAATCCCAGTGTGAAACCCCACAGCATCAGAATGCCTCTTCTAACTATGTAGAAGTTTATTGAGATGTGTAGACTTTGGATCTGGTTAATGTTGGTGTGTGGTATTTATTTTGTTTGCACATCTTTAGTAAGTATAAAATTAAAATAAGTAGAAAATTATTGTCACATCCATATAAAGTGAATAATATATAGTTACAACATACTGAGCTCATTAGTATTGCCTGTATGTATATGTTTTTAGGGTTGACCACTTAGATTGGGAAGAGCCAGAGCTTTCTTAATAAAAGGTGAACTACTACTTGGGACTGGATTATGTAAGAACTCTGACTTTCTTCCAGACAAGTGGGATTTGGTTCTCAGCATCCACATGATTGCTCACAACCATCTGTAGCTCCAGTTGCAGGGGATGTGACACCCTCTTCTGGCTTCTTCCGACAGCAGGTGTGCTTGGAGTGTACACACATGCGTGCAGGCGGAACATTCATATACACGGACTAAAAACACATAGTTCTAAAGCAGAAGCCGAAGTGCATCTGACAACATTGGTTGTTTGGTGCGGCATAAGAGCCAGCGCTTGGGTTTGGAAGAGAGCGGCTCCCACAGAAAGCCCAGGGCTTTGATGTTGTAAATACGCTGTGGGTCCCAGCTTCAGACACAGGTCACAGACCGAGGTCTTGTGTCAGATGTAAGCTAAGTCTCAAAAGCAAAGCCTCGTCAAAGCACAAGGTCAGAGCGGTGGGCAGCTCAGGAGGAGGAATGGCGTTAAGTTTCAGAGATGCATTTGCTATTCACCCTGTAGGATGTGTGTGTGTGTCTGTCTAATACATAGAATAAGTTTTTCATTTCTATTATGTTGAAAATTAATTAGCTTTTGTCTGTCCTCCCTCCCTCCCTTCCTTCTGTCTTTGGTAGAGTATTTCCCTTGAGAACAAGAGGCCCGTGGCACTCTACCAAGTGTTTAGGAAACTGAAAAGTGAATTTCAGTTCAACCCTTGCTAACTTTTTGAGATAGGAGCCAGAAACTTTGAGGTGCTGGCCTGAGCTGGGACTGTTATAACCTCCTGCCCAGGGGACTCTGCTTTCCTCTCCATGGTCTTTGTCACACGCACAGTCCCTCAAGTGCACACTGGAAGCTTCCTCTGCATTCACTTCTCTTTCCCTTCGAAGCCCAGAGGCGAGGGCTATTTCTTTAAGATTACAGGGCCTGCCTCTGCTTTAGTGTGCTCTGTTACTAGATAGCACAGTTTGATAACTCCTGGTCATTGTGAGGAACTGAGAAAGGGGCTGGGCTCTGGGAAATGAGAGGGAAGCCTGGGTCTGCGAGCTTGGTCAGGCAAGATTTGCTGTGGAGTCCCATCTCCACGCAGCCGCAGTCCCTGAGAGCCTCCCCATACTTTAGTTCTGAGGGAGAAATGTCCTTTACGGAAGGGAAATTCACGTCCCTTGTAGACAAAAAGTGTTTGCTGTTGTTAAAATGCCCAAGTCCGGTCACTTCCTGGGGTTTTCACCTCTTTCCTATGAAAACTTCTGAATATGTAGAGTTAAGAACAATCAAACCAACAAAGCCATACAGGACTGAAGAGACGACTCAGGGGTAAAGGCGCTTCCTGCCAGTGCTGAGGACCTGGGTCCAACCACGGGATCCTCATGGCGGAAAGAGAACCAGTTCACACAAGTTTGTCCCCTGACCTTCACATGTGCCGTGGCATGCCCACACACAGACGCACAAATAAAATGAGTGTTAAAAACAATTCGCACCAGTACAATCTGTATAACTCTCCCCTGTAAAAGCCTTTGATCAGAGCATTTACAGGCTCTGGGTACATAAGAGAAGACTAGTTTTACCCAATGACTGTATATCATTTCTCAACAGCTTTCAGTTAAAACAACTTACACCAGGGTGTCGTGTTGGGCAGTGGCATCTTCTAGTTCCCTCAAAGTATAGCGATAAAAAAAAAAAACAAAAAAAAAAAAAACCATACCGGGGCTGGAGAGATGGCTCAGTGGTTAAGAGCACTGATTGCTCTTCCAGAGGACCTGGGTTCAATTCCCAGCACCCATATGGCAGCTCACAACTGTCTGAAAATGCAGTTCCACAAGATCTGACACCTTCACACCAATGCACATAAAATAAGAAGCTAATAAATCATTAAAAAAAACCATACTGAATGTCACATGAATATAAAAGGCAAATTGTATATCCAGTCATGGGTAAAGGTATGTGCTTAGCTGAGCCACCACTCACTTTTAAACTCAGCCAACATCTTCTTGGTGGGACACACCCTCTCCTGATCTGTTGTCATTTTACTGTTATTTATAGCACAAACAAGCCTGCTATTACTTCCGTAGGAATGAGAGCTGGCTCTGGTTATTTTCTTTGAGGTCACTGACATCGTCTTCTGTGTTTAGACTGGAAGAGCCCAGGATTGGTGTGCATAGAGGGTGATCACGTGTTTTTCTTCCCTCTTTCCTCACCGGCTGCAGCAGCGAGCAGGGTCGACGGCAGCCGGCCTCCCATGTCAGTGGTCTAGGATGGCCAGTGAGGGCGCCAGCATCCCAAGTCCCGTGGTGCGCCAGATCGACAAACAGTTTCTGATCTGCAGTATATGCCTGGAACGGTACAAGAACCCCAAGGTCCTGCCGTGTTTGCACACTTTCTGCGAGAGGTAAGCTTCTCTCATGCTCCTGCGCTCGCTCGCCACCCACACAGGCTTTCTCGAGATTCTGCTGCTGCCCGTGAGAGACAACAGGCACCTAGAAACCCAGTCAGGAATCAGGATCACCAGTGACTTCATCTCAAACAATTACAAGTCTGAGAAAGCATCCAGGAACGAACTGGCTCACTTCCAAAAGAGGCAGAGCTAAAGAAAACACAGTTCTTCTTTTTCTTTCTTGTAAGAGTGTTTTCAATTGCTATTTCATTTGAAAGATATTTATTTATTTATTTATTTATTTATTTATTTATTTATATTTTTGAGGCAGGCTTTCACTATGTAGACCAGGTTGACCTTGAGGTCACAGAGACCTGCCTGCTTCTGCTTCTCAAGTGCTGGGATTTTATTTTTATTTGTGTGTGTGTGTGTGTGTGTGTGTGTGTGTGTGTATCTGTGGGCAGAGGCCAGAAAAGGGCGTCTGCTGTCCTGGAGCTGGCATTATAGGCGGCTGTGAGTCGTTGACTGGATGTGGGTGCTGGGAACCACACTCTGACCCTATGGAAGACACAGAAACACTTCTCCAGTCCTTTGAATGTGCGTTTATTCTCCATGGCTTTATTTACTATATAAAAACAAAAGCAAAAACAAAAAACATAGGGATAAGAAGTTTGTTATGTGACCTGCTTGGTAGCACAAGTCTGTAATTATAGTACTTAGGAGGCTGAAGTAGTAGAATTTTGAGTTTGAAGATAGTCTGGGCTATACGTGGAAATCTTGTCTTAAAAACAAACAACAACAAAATCAGAATTGGAGTGGTGGCACACTCCTTTAATCCTAGCACTTGGGAGGCAGAGGCAGGTAGATCTCTGAGTTTTGGGTCTACATAGTGAATTCCAGGACAGCCAGAGCTACTAGAAAAACCCTGTCTCAAAAACAAACAAATAAAAAACCAAAACAGAAACAACAAAAACAAAAGCAGAAAGAGGAGTTGTTAGCGTGTCATTTACTTGTGGCTCAGTTTAAATGTATCCTTAGCAAAGCTTTATAAATATTATCCTTAAAAACGGTTAGATACTCTAGTTATGCTTGAACACATGTCTCTAAGTACATTTCTATTACTTAATAGATGTAATTAAAACTGCATGCTTCCTACTTCTAGATCATGAAATAAATGCTTCCAATGATTTCAAATATATGCTGATTTTATTTCCCTGCCAATTAAAAATACATTTATCATTTAACTGGACATTAAAAAAATGAGTTAATTTACTTTGGAGGGTCCTGCTGCAGCAGAATGGCCACATCCTTGATAGCAGAGATGGGTAGAGGGGAGGTGTGTTTGCTTCTGGTTAGAAGCTGTGGGCTTCCTCCTTTCATTTAAAATTATGTAGAGGATTGTTCTGTTTTAGTGATGGTTTGGATTGTGCTTTTCATTTTACTCATATATAGGCATTGTTATAAAATGGCACAAGTGGTACCCTGGTGGGAAGCCTACGGCGGGTGAGGGACAAACACGGCCAGGCAGATAGAAGTTTTTTGGGGGAATGGAAGGGAGTAGGGAAAGGAAAGGGAGAGAGGGGAAAAGAAGAGAAAGAGGAGAAAGAGACAGGAAAAGTACTGCTTGCTCCTGCAGAGGAACAGCAGGAAGGAGAGCTGGAATGGGCAGAGCTTGTCTCTTAAAGGGACCAAAGTTTGCACCTGCATACAGACTATGTATGCATAGGACCCTGGACTGGCCAGGGTAATGCCTGAGTGTTTCCTGTTAGGCTAGCTAACATAATGCCTGGATCTTAACATTCCTATATTTTTCTTATTATAAAAAGGTGGGGAAATTAAAGAGGGCTAGCAGGTGGGAAAGGATTAGGGGAGTCGGATTCTCAAGACTGCTTCTTGCTGCTCTTTCAGGGACTTGAGAAGCTGGGATGTTAGCCACGTCCTAGGGTACCCGGTTGTTTCGCTGCTGTCCAGGCTCTGTGGAACCATCTGGTACCTCTTGGACCTGGCAAGATGTTGGCACAGCAGAGGACAAGGTTAACCTTCCTTAGGTCCTGATGATTGAGGGGGAGGGTGTCAGGACCAGGGAAAGGTGGGGAGGCTGATTGAGAGTTCTTATCTGGAGTGCATCTGATCTATTCAAAGTGAATTCAAGTCGATTCCCTGGAACTTACAAGGATTCTTTGAGTTTGTGAAAACATAAGTTTTAGCCCCGAAATAATCACACAGAAACTGTATTATTTAAATAACTGCTTGGCCCATTAGCTTTCGCTTCTTATTGGCTAGCTCTTACACCTTAATTTAGCCCATCTCCATTAATCTGTGCATCACCACAAGGTCGTGGCCTACCAGCGAAGTTTTGGTGTCTGTCTTTGGCAGGGTTACATGGCTGCTTTTGACTCCACCTCCTTTCTCCCAGCCTACATCCTAGTTTTTCCCGCCTAGTTTGCTGGTAGGCCACAACCCCTTGATAACAGTTATTTAGAAGACACAGGACTCGGAGAGGATATCCGTAGGAAGAAATATGTCTGCTATACTCATAAGGGTATAGGATCCCAGGGGAAGAAGAGCTTTCAGGATGGAGCCATGAGTAACACCAAGCTTTGGTAACTCAGAAAACACAGAACAGACAGGAGGAACAGATCCAGCCAAATAAGGGAGTGGGCAAAGTCAAGCTTGATGAACGTTGGTTGGTAAATATGATTGATGATGCCTCTTGGCCTTAAGCACCATTTTTGACTTCAGATCTGCTTCATTCCTGACAGAGACTTAGCTCAGGTTACCGCTGAGATACTCATCAGCCCAGGTTACCTCTGAGATGCTCATCAGCTAACCCTTCTCGGTTAACTGGATGGAATTGGTGCTTCTTGAAGAGAAGCAAAAGATGCTGTGACCGAGTCTGGGTTTCCCTTAAGTTAATCAAATATTCTAGTCAGATGCTTTTCTTTTATGATTATGGCTTTGTGTGTCAAATGAATTGCAGTGTTGACAAACACATCTGACACCCCCCCCCCCCCCCCCCCCCGCCGCCCGGGTACAAAAGTTCACACATCTGTGAGCCCGATGCTTATAGAACAAGGCTTTCCAGCCTCTCCTGTATGTGTGAGCCACATGGGCATCTGACCTGGTAGGGCCATCCAGTTCCTGAGAAGGTCAAGGCAGTTGGCCTTGAATCAATCACACTGTGGGTGTCAGGTCTCTAGACACTACAGAAGTCTAGAAAAAGAAACTAAGAAGACGTTTTCTTCTTTTCCTTGAGCACAGTCAGTGTGTAGAGCCGATATGAGGGCAGGTTAGCTCTTGGTCTCTGAAGCATGATTTACCTGGTACAGGATACCACAAAGAGTGGGTTTCTGTGAAGTGGCCCACTGTGAGGCATGGTTGATGAGACCATAGACGGTACCTGCATGCAGAAACAGCGCTCTGTACTGATGGCCCCCATGTGTGCTCTGAACAGGTGCCTGCAGAACTACATTCCAGCCCACAGCTTAACCCTCTCCTGCCCAGTGTGTCGCCAGACTTCCATCCTGCCTGAGAAGGGGGTGGCTGCACTCCAGAACAATTTCTTTATCACAAACCTCATGGATGTGCTGCAGCGAACGCCAGGCAGCAATGGTGAGGACTCTTCCATCCTGGAGACGGTCACCGCTGTGGCTGCAGGAAAGCCTCTCTCATGCCCAAACCACGACGGGAATGTAAGTGAGGCAGACCACAGGGCTGCCTGGGGAACATGGTGGCGTGGCCTTGGGTAGGCTTTGGATACACCCCTCAGAGAGTCTTCATTAAAGCAAAGATCCTTAGCTATCTTTTCTGCGCTAATAAAAAGTCTGAGAAATGACTAATTAAAAACAAACTTTTAACAACCCTCAGGCTCTTTTTCCTGCTCACTTTCTCTAACCAGAGTTACTTATATCATAAAATCTGTCTTTATCATCTCTACTTAGGCTAAACAGTTACTGTCCTCTGGGGAGAGAGAGAGAGAATATCAGTAGCTGTTTGCAAGTTACACATATCCAGACATAATATGCAAGTCAAAAATCATGGATGTAGATTGAATGGCAGAAAAGCTCTACAAATTGAAAGTTGATTACTAAGATGCTAATTAATTAGAGTCTATTTTTCTTGGAGAAGAGTTTTTCTCGTGTCTTAGGAATAAAGAATTGAAGCTCCATGAATCTCTGATAAAGACTGCACACTGTGAGTTGTTGACATACTTCCTGCTTCTATCTAACACAATAACTGTTATGGATGCAAATGCATCTTTAAGACTCATCAAATAACTGACTCACGGTGGCTCTGTGCCTGGAAGGGACAGGATAATGCCATGGCTAGAGGCACGGATTTGTGAGTCAGCCTGACTGATTCAAACCCTGTCTTTAATTGATCCTCGCCTCAGCTTTACTAAGTTTATTAAATTCTTGCTTCCTTTTCTGTGTAAAGGAAGCAATAATAGTATTTACCAAATAGGTTATTTGAAATTGGGAAATAAAATGTTTAAATGATATATAAAGCACATAGTAAGCTCTCAGGAAAGGTTAACGCTTAAAGTATTTCTTGATCCAGGTGTGGTGTGCATACCTATAATCCTAGCACTCAGGAAGCTGAGAGAAAAGATGACGAGTTTGAGACCAGCCTTGGCAATGCAGAGAGACTCTCTGTAAAATATAGATACATATTTCTCAGAGGTTAGAAGTGTAGCTCAGTGGTAGATTGTATGCCTAGGGTCTTAATTACTGTCCTATTGCTGTGATAAAACACCATGACCAAAGCAACTTGTGAAAGAAAGCGTTTAATTTGGGGCTTGGGTTTCACAGGGTTGAGTCCATGACTATCATGTCAGGGAGCATGGCAGCAGCTAGACAGGCATGATGCTTGGAGCAGCAGCTAGACAGGCATGATTGTAGTAATAAGAGCGGCGGGGCTGCGTTCCCAGCACCCCAGCCGCCTGCCCGGCTAGCTTATGCCCGAAATAACAACACACAAACTGTATTCATTTAAACACTGCTTGGCCCTTTAGCCCTAGCCCTTACTGGCTAATTCTGATATCCCGATCAACCCATTTCTAATCAACTGTAGCACCGGTCTTACCGGGAAGATTCTAGCCTATGTCCATCCTGGGTCGGAGCTTCATAGCGTGCGTCTGCCCAGGAGCCAGGAGCATGGCGTCTCTCTGAGGCGTTTGCTCCCAAGCTGAGAGCTGTGGAGTCTGAGCTCACTTCCTCTTCCTCCCAGCGTCCTGTTCTGCCTACTCCTCCCACCTATCTTCCAACCAATAAAATGGGCCAAGGCAGTTCCTTTATTAGCCAATGACCTTCCTCCATCACATGATGCTTGGAGCAGCAGCTAGACAGGCATGATGCTGGAGCAGCAGCTGAGAGCTCATATCTTGAACACAACTATGAAGCAGATAGACCGAAAATCATATGAGTCTTTTTAAAAATTTATTTATTTATTTATTTTATTGAGAAAGGGTTTCACTGTGTATCCCTGGCTGTCCTGGACCAGGCTGACCTTGAACTCAGAGATCCACCTACCACTGCCTGCAGAGTGCTGGGATTAAAAGCATGCACCACCACTGTCTTGTAGATGGAAGTTTCTTCCCGCCTGGTCCTACAGCCTTTCAGTCCCAAAGAAACATACAGAGGCATATATTAATTATAAACTGTTTGGCCTATTAGCTCGGACTTATTATTAACTATCTCTTACAACTTTAATTAGCCCATAATTCTTGTCTATGTTTAGCCATGTAGCTTGGTACCTTTTCTCAGTAAGTCATTTTCCTCTTGCTTCCTCTGCTTCTGGATAATAATTGTGTCTCTGCCATTCCTCTTCCCAGAATTCTTCTTGTCTGGTTTCCTCACCTATACTTCCTGCCTGGCTACTGGCCAAGCAGCATTTTATGAAACCAATATGACTGACAAATCTTTACAATGTACAAGAGCATTGACCTACAGCAATCCCTGGCTCTTAGGAGTCTTTTGAAACCTCAAAGCCTGCTCCCAGGGACACACTTCCATCAACAAAACCAAGCCTCTTAATCCTTCCCAAACAGTTCCACAAGCTGAGGACCAAGCATTCAAATATGGGGGCCATTCTCATTGAAATGGTCATACCTAGCATGTGAAAGTCTCTGGGTTCAATTCCTGGCACAAGACCCTGAATTGGATGATGATAATGATGATGGTAATGATGGTGATGATGATGATGATGATGGTGATGATGATGATGATGGTGGTGATTTGGTGTTAGGAATCAAACCCAGGGCCTTCTGAATGCTCCTGTCATGTTGCTGATCTATACTTCCAGCCCTGATGTTATATTAATTTTAATCAATGACCTTATTCACCTTTCTCATTGTACTTTGCACGTAAGAATCATTTGAAGCTACTTGCAATATAAGCCCCCAGCCCCACCCCACTGTGTTATAAACCACCAGGACAGCAAGTGGACGTTAGAGTCAAGCAGTCCTTATCAGCCATTGGCTGCAAGCCACACTGCACGCTGCCTGCTCTGCTTCAGCCGGCCTGGCCTTTTTCAACTCCTCCGTGGGGTTTCTGCCTTCAGGTGGCTGTCCCATTCCTTCCTCCTGCTCCATGCCCTCTCTCCCGTGGTTTGTCTGTCCTTAGTCCTCATTCTCCATTTCCTTCCCAGAAATTCTTCTCTAGCTATGCTCTCTGAGGCAAGCCGCTCCTTTTTTGAGACAAGGTCTCACTATGTACCCTTTACTGGTCTAGAACAGTCTCTATACGTCTCTGTAGACCAGGCTGGCCTTGAACTCGTAGAAATATGCCTGCCTCTGCCTCCCGAGTACTAGAAATAAAGGCCTGCGCCATCGTGGCTAGCCACCACCTAATAGCATTTTACCTCTATCCTGTCACTTCCCATCCTGACCCATGGCATTAGTAATGTCACCCGTGGGCTGTTTGCTCATTGGTCTTCTAGCTCTCCGTCTAGAGTAAGTTCAAATGGGCAGAGGCTTTAGCTCTGTGTATTACATCCAGAATGTCACCCGTGGGCTGTTTGCTCATTGATCTTCTAGCTCTCCGTCTAGAATAAGTTCAAATGGGCAGAGGCTTTAGCTCTGTGGATTGCATCTTCAGCAGACTGGTGTCAGAATTGCCCAACTTGGCTTCTCAATGCAGTCTGCAAGACAGGTGTGAGTGACCCTTATCCACAGACCTGTTCAGGCTTGAACAGGTTAAGTACCAGTTTGACTGACACATCACAGAAGCTAGACCTAGAATCAATAGCATCCTGATCTTTATGACAGCTTCAAACACAAGAAGACACCGAGCCTTGCATATCTGTAACTGTTTAAATAGAAGTACACCAAGCTAGTAACGACACCAAGGTATAACATATACAATACAATCCAAGGGAGACCATAGTGTGGATTTTACCAAAACAAGCTGGAAATTTTCCTCCCAAAGCGGTTTGAATGTTATTTTTCTGACCCCTTTTCTTATTGGCTCAGAGTGAATACTGAGGCTCTCTGCTTGGACTCCCCTCCTAAGTGCTATGTCTAGGAAAGCATTTCAGTCAGGTGCAAGTTCCCATAAAGTTTAGTTCAATCATGGGACTCCCTCCAGACCCTGTTTGACGGGGAAGGTAGTCTTAGAAACACTAGGAGTCCAACTGTAGAGCACCAGCCTAGATTCAAACCAGTGGTAGTGTAGAATGTGGAATAAATGGCACTTGGTATTGAGATAGCATGGTAATGAATGTTAAGGTGTGGTGGTGGTCAGGAATGGTAGGCATCTGGGGCATCTGGAACATGACGTCGGGAGGTGGGGCCACATTACAGGTGGGCAGGAGACTTTCAGGGAGGAACCAGAAAAGTAGCTGGGGAGAGATTGCGACACACTGTGATATCATCGAGAAAGTACTTGACCTAAATTCCAAAAGCAACGTGGACCATCAAACCTTTAAAATAAGAGGTGGATGGTTTACTGTCTGAATGGCAGACAGAGCGGTTGAGACTGAGGGTGGGCACCAGGTTAGCGTTTACTGAGATGCTCAGCTGATGTCGATAAGTGCCTGGACTAGAGAGTATCACCGAGCCCAGAGCAGAAGACGTGTTTCAGAGGAAAGAGGACATTCATGAGAGAATCTGCCTCCCTCACATAAAAACCTGTGTGTTTTAAGAAGGCAATCTGTTGAGCGAAGCCAAGATTGGGAGAACTTGAGCCACAGAAATGGGCTATTTAACCAGGACCCAGCAAAACTTCAGTGTGCTTAGCTCCTGCACAGTGCGCTACAGTTAAGTTGGCAATTGTTCATGGAAAAAAAAAAACCACAAAATGTCTTTTTAAAACTCACAACTATTTAATACATAAAGTAAGGGCAAAACAGGACTATATAAAACACAGAAACTGGGGTTGGAGAGATGACTCAGCAATTAAGAGCACTGGCTGTTCTTCCAGAGGACCTGGGTTCAATTCCCAGCACCTACCTGGCAGCTCACAGATGTCTGTAAATCCAGTTCCAGAGGACCTAACACCATCATGCAGGCAAAACACCAATGCACATAAGTAAAACAACAAAAATACCCACAGAAATAAAGCTTTTGCTGCTTTATGTATGGGGTAAATAACTCCATATATTTTTAAAGGAGATTTTTATAGGTATCAAAGTATTTTCTTTTATTAAAAAAGAATGCAGCTTAGGAAGTTGGAAGACAGGTATTCAGTATAGG